ATTTCAAAACTTAATTTTATCACTTTAAAAAAATAAAAAAATTAGAAATAATTTTTAAATTTTTTAAAAAAATCCATAAATTTTTGAAAAAAATAAAAATATATATTATTTTTAGAAATTCAAAAAAATTTTAAAAAATTTAAAAATAGTTTTTAATTGTTAAAAAAGTTCTAGAATGATAAAAAAATAGAAATAATTTTTAGTTTTAAGAAATTACAAAAAATTGAAAATCCATAAAATAAAAAGTATATTTAAAATTTTTGAAAAAATAAAAGATATTCTTTTTTATGCTCATACTTTCTTAAAATTATAAAAATTATTTCCTCTCTGTAATTTTAATAAAATTTTTAAAATAAAAAATATTTCTTTGACTTTCAATATTTTTTTCAAAAAATATCTTTTGATTTTTTATTTTGTTATTTTTTTCAAAATATTTTTAATTTTATAGGAATTTTTCAAAATAATAATACATAGGCGTAATTTTTCAAAATAATAATATATGAGATTGAAAATTTATTGAAGAGATGATATCATATATCATATAAAAAATTACAATAAAAAAACATACAAGTATACAAAACTTCTATTTTAATATATAAGTGTAATTTTAAAAATTAACATTATATTCTCAATAAAGTGTTTGTAAATCAAATGTTGTAATGTTATATTCTCAGCAATCATATTTTTTACAATGTGATTATAATGTAAGACATTACACGTCACTTTAATGTAAACATAAAGAATCAAATGTGCATAACGTAAAATTGTAAAACTTCAATAGAATGCTGTTGAGAATAATTTAATCATGAAATGATATATAGGATCTTTTGTAAAGAAATTATTTAAAAATTTTACAAGGAATGGCCCAAAAAGGTCAAAAAGCTGTGGTTATAGAGTTGAATGAGAGACCAAATTTTATAAAGTAATTTTCAAGGCATAAAATAAATTATAAGCCATAGTGCAAAAACGAATATGCCACCAATGATATTTCCAAGCTTAACAATGCAAGCTAGCCCAGCACCAACACTGGCAGGATCTCAAAATCCAATTTGACTCGGTGGAGTGGGCTTGAAATCTAAGACATATCTTGTGAGCCAAAAGTGGCAGTGCATGCATTTGCTGTCCTAATATTTTCCTCACTTGGACATGGTGTTCTCGACTCATTACTGTCACCATGGGTGCACTCGCAACGAATCAGCAGCAACGCATACTCAAAAACAGCAACATAACCCAAAACAACAGAGTTCAAATTCCACCAACTACAGTTCTAGTATCCAGAGTCACTTTTTTGTGCATCCCTGCACATCAACAAAGACAGCCAAATACCAGCCGCCACATAATCCCAAGATTCAGACAACCATTTTATAGATGTGCACCTTCGCCACCATAACAAAAGAGCTTTAATGGCCTAGAAAGATGACAAAAGATACCATCAGCCACTCTCCCAACATAAATACATTCAAGGAAAGACATTAAGTAGATAAGTTTACCTTCCAACCCCTTAGCCAATTCATCAACCAAGTGATTAGCACCCATAAGTGTATGTTGTACATTCCATGCTTCAACTCTCCTATTTAAACTCTCAATGTTTAATATCAAGGTTCGGTATTGCCACGGTGCCAACTCAGGTGATGTAACCCACTGGACAACATTCATAGTCACTTTCCACCATGAGTGCATGAATCATCCCACTTTGAAGCCACAAAAATAGTACAGGCTTCATTGATGGATAGTAGCTCAGCAAAATTACCACCTTCAAGGTCAATTGATTTAGAAAAAGTGGCTTTTACCTCTAAACAGTCTTCCTCATCACCCTCCCCGATATTGGCAGCCCCTGGGCATCCTCTGGTCGTGGCGTCAAAGTTAAATTTCATCCACCTCGCAGTAGGTGGGCTTCACTCCACAATGCTCCTGGTCTTCGTAACTCTCTCTGGTGTCTTAGCCAAAGTTCTCTCATATCTGGCCACTTAGCTTTCTCCCAATTGGCTACCCATAATCTCACCAAATCCATCGCTTGACTTGCATACCACTGTTTTTCTTTAAAGATGATCTCATTACGGAGCAACCATAGCGTCTAGACCAAAGAATAAAAGGCCATGTCCCATATATTTTTGTGACCCTCATTTAAATAAGCTCCATTCCAAGCCACAAGAAAAGTTTTGTAGTCATTTAGTACACTCCAAGTTACATTCCACCCTCTAAGTCCTGCCGCCCACCTCCCTCCCCCTTCTTGCTTCCAAGACTCTTTAAAGTGGAAAAAAAAAAGATGTTCAACAATTTCATAACCCACTTTACACTTTACACAATACACAATACACAATACACACATAGCATTGCTTTTACTCAACATACCCCATTTAACAAGTTCATTTTTAGAGTACAATCTATGGATAGATTCCTTGAATCTATCGATAGATGAAGGTTAACATCCAAAATTGTTAAAGGAATATATCAAATGATGCCTCCCATCTATAGATAAATGATCCTATTAATGTTAAAAAAAAGGGAGGGTTGAAGGCGTCATTTGGCTTAAAACAAAAGAGGAAAACCCCCTTTTCTCTTTAAACCCTGAAACTCTAACATCCCAAATCGATTTTTGGAGGTATTTGTAGTAAATTTGAACTTGAGAAATGCTTTTAGAGGTAAGATTAAGAGTTTTTACTAATTAATTTTTAATTTAAGTGATTAATAACTTCGCATCAGTTTGATCGAGTTTTGGTAAGATTTTCTTCGCTGAGTTGCTAGGGATTTGGAGTTGAGATTTGGACAACCCAGCCACTAAGGTAAAGATTTGAGCTCATATATTGAATTGGGTTATTTTTGAAGTAGGATATTTTTGAAAGTTGAGAAATAAATATTATTTGGATGTTTTGATGTGTTTAAAGGGAAATTAGAGCTACTTAACTTGTTGGTGAGCTAAATAACAGTTGGAGGCTAGGAATTAGAGCTTGGCGGTGGAACGCAGCTTCGACTGTCATTGTGAATGGGTTTTGTGTAAAAAGCATGTGATGCTTATCTCATTGTTAATGTGCTGTTGTGGTACTAGAATAGTCTATATGAATATAATTGCCCAGATGAACCTGCCTAGGTTGGAGAACAAATATATATGTGAATATGTGTGCTGTGTATTGTGTGCCTTAGTGCAAGCCACATGGTGACCTATATTGTTTGAGCTTAGATTAGGAGGTCAAGTAGATGTGATGGATGTCTAGGAGTAACTCACTCTGGACTTTGAACCCCATGAAGAGTTAGAAATATTTGATGCCTTAAAAGTTAAGGACTCTTAGATGAGATATTGAGCTAGAGATGTTTGGAGTCCATAAAAGTAATCCTTGATGTGAATTATGGAATATGAGATATCTAAGGCATGATGGCTTCCTTGTGGATTTGTGTTCCATTCGAGGTTGAGAATTTCAGATGTTGATTTAATTTGAGGTTAAGTGGAGTCTTATGCCCTAAGACTGTGTGTGCTTGCAAGGATTGTGATAAGTTAAGTTTGTTAGAAAGTATTTTCTATCAAGTCAAAATGGTTTAAATTATGTCGTGGTGTATAACAAATTTTTCATCATGATGTGTAACAATTAAATTTTTCAATATGACGTGTAACAACTAAATCTTCAACATGACGTGTAATAGTTATATTTTTTAACATGGTGTGTAACAACTAAATTTTTAACATAGTGTGTAACAATTTCATTTTTTAACATGATATGTAACAACTAAAATTTCAACATGACGTGTAATAACTACATTTTTCAATATAACATGTAACAACTAAGTTTTCAACATAACATGTAACAATTATATTTTTAGCATGGCATGTAATAATTATTTTTAACATGGTACGTAACAATTAAATTTTAGAATATGGTATGTAACACTATATTTTTCAAAGCTACCATGTCATCAGCTCACGCGATTTTCTGTAACGTGCGATACACGCTCTATCCACTTGTCAACTTAATCTTTAATTGTAAAGAATTGAAAACATTTAGTTCTTAATTATTACAATTGAAATATTTGACCCTTAATTAAAAAAGTGCTCAAACATTTAGCTTCAATTTAAGCATTTAACCTATATAAAACTCAAAAACCACCTAGTTTTAAGAATAAGAAAAATAAAAGAAAAAGTAAAAAAAAAAAAAGGTGTTGGAACTGTGACCGAGCAAGCCTGAGTGGCTTTGCCTAGACCCATTACTTGGCCCAAATCAGTAACCCCAAGCTAAAACCTAAACTCGACTTCAAAAGAGATTTTTTTTTTTGGAATAGTCCATATGAAAATACTTAAGTAATTGACTAATTAATAATTTCATTGGGAAAATATAAGGAATAAATTAAAAATTATATCAATAATAATATCATTAATGTGAATAAAAATAAAAATATAATTAATGTTAAACATGAATATATAAATATTGTGAATAATTTTAAAAACTTACATTTGTTCTATGCTATGTTATAAATGAAATAAATTTATACATAATTATTTAAATACATAATAATAAAGTATGATATAAATTTTGATATGCGTTGTTAATAATTGTACTAAAATTTTCCATGAAATAATTTAATTTTTAATATTATGCCTTTGGTTGATAATTATGTTTCACGATTATGATATTATCATCAAAAGAATTGATAACATAAACATTTTTATTGTTTATTACATGAATATTAATATACATAAAGTTATACAGAAATGAAATAGAAATATGTTAAAAAAAGAAAAGATATATCAGTTGCATTTGCAAGTACGTTCAGGACATAAATTATGTAGCCTATGAATAATTACTTTTAATTTTCTTAACTTTAATTTTATTTCTTTATTATAATGATCATTTTTATCAAAATATAATTAAATTTTTATTAGAATATATTAAGATATGTATAAAAAGTTGTAAAAGCTTTTAAAAATTAAAAATCATTTAAAAATAAAAAAATTTAACACGAAACAACGTGCAGAGAACATACTAATTATAAATTGAACTAAAAAAAAGTAATACCATTCAAAACTTCTCATTCAAAATAAAATAAAACAAACACCAATTACAGCCAACCAACAATTTTTTAATGGGGAGTTTCAAATTATTTATACAGCTAGCATGAATTGTTCAGAGGGCATTGATATATAGTTTGCCCCATAGATTCTCTTATTTAAGCAACAACCTGCATTTAACATTGGAAAAGTATGTAATCCAATTATGAACCAGTGGTGGTATATTGTATAATTCCAGTGGTAACACGTCCGCCGGAGGAAGGACGAGCAGTCATGTAATAATGGCCAAGGTTTTGGTTTGCACAGAACAAGACGTCAAGTGTTTGGCCTGGGGCTATTCTTAGAGAATTGGCGAAAGACCTCCTGGTGTAAGCCCCATTCTGTCCGATAATAGTGAAGCTGTGGTAGGAGATGCTGAGCATCATTGTTTCATTCACCGCAGCATTTACTATACGAAGAAGGTATACGCTCTGGTAATCTACTTGTTGATGATATATTGTGTCTGCAACATGAAAGTATGAATTGTTATTACATAGGCGGATTAACAACAAAAAATTAGAATGACAAGTTGCTGCATGTAGATTATATACCCACACAAACACGAGCACACACGAGGTTTCTCTCGTAATTATTATTTGATCGTTACTTTTACTAGTATTTTATTATATATTTCTTCGTTAATTGTTACTAATTAATCTACACCTTTTTCAGATTTCATTATTAAATAAAAACAGGGTACTTAATTAAGAACTTCGTGGCTATTATCTCAAACTCAAGGAAGAAAATTCTTGAAATTCATTACTAACAAATGAAAAGAAGGCTTAAATTACCCAATCACGTCCTAACATAAAAAGTATGCGAAAACAGTGCATACGTACCGTTGCGGCATCCGTATGTGTCTCCAGGATGGCCGTTGATTGTGTAAGCATCTGCTGCGCCAGGGGCAATGGTTTCATTAGCTTCCGTCAACTCTTGTCTAAACCATGATCCTGGCAGAAGAATATACCAAAGAGGTTAAAGATTTATAATATTTAGAAAGTATAAAGCAAAAATAACAAAGAATTACCAAATTATTAACAATACCGAGTATAATTGTTTGATCTGAAGTAGGGGCAGGAAAAGGATAATCTTCATTGGCTGCAGGCAAAATGACAAAGGAGCCGTGGACGGTGGCGCTGGCCCAGGCACTCTTGGCGTGCCACCATAGAGTTCCTATTTCATCAGATAGTTTGATCTCATAAGTGAAGTTTGTTCTGGGCTGAATCAAATCATCTGAACCTGCAATCGATTCCTTAACGCCCTCCCTACCGAAGTTCCAAGAAACAAAATCCAGAAATAAAAAGAATTGATATCTCATCATAAACTTGATAGCTCAAAAATTGATCATGAGAGGGAGAGCTAGTGGAAGTACCACTCCATGGAAACAGCATGGCTTCCTTGATTGTGGACATTGACGAAAACTGTGTCCCCTCTGCGAGCCCGAATCTCTGGCCCTGGAAAACTACCGTTTACGGTCAAGATGTTCTTTGTGCGACAGAGCTTTGTAAACTCGGATTCTTGTAGCTGCAACCAGATATCAGAAACAAACCCAAAATGAAAATTCAACACTCTGATTGACAGAAATTAACAGAAAAGGGTAAAAAGAAGCAATAACTTACAAAAAATTCATAGGAATGAACATCAGCCCTGGAAAAGAGGAAGATGTTCAGTAACAAAAGCCCTGATAACCATAAGATAATTCCCTGCTTCTGTGAACCCATTTTTTCTGAATCTGTGTTCTGCAGTTCACCCCTTGTCCTTGTACCCTTTTGGTTTTATCCATTTTTCTTATTTATAAAAGCAATCTTTGTGCATGCTGAAGTCATTTCCTTTGGAGGTGAAATTTGACTAATAGAAAAGAAGGTTCTCAAAATACTGTACTCCACCCAACGTTCTTCGGTCTCAGCCGAGAGGCTACTTTTCTAAACACGCGCAATATCCGAAAGCCAAGTCATAGTCAAACACGATGAAATATTATATTACAATATCTTTGTCTGACCTAATTGATCACCGAAAATGAAGTCTGATTATGAAGGTAAGACAAGTTAGGTTCAGAAAGCTTTTCTTTCGTCAGATGGAGGATAACAAAACGTCGACGACTATAGATTTGGATGATTACAGTTTTCTTCTAATACAAGCAACGACCAGGGAAACAGACAGGAGAGAGACTCTAGCCGCCTCTTTCTGGATTTCGTGGATGACTCCAAGTTTATCAATTTGGATATAAATTACATTACACATTGTTACACATGCTAATTTTTTCTTTGGCTCAAATTCTAACGTGTCAACTTGTTAAGCGAATATAACTCTAACTGTCTATGCTGTTAAGAGAGATAAGGATAAAGAGCCAGCAATGCCAGTCTTTGTCTAGTGTCTGGATGCCTTATCTTGAAAATGTCCAGAGTCAGAAATGGTTTGCTGTTCTCCTCCTTCACGTGACCGTTTTCTGCAATTTTCTTCTTTACCGTAATTCCAAAAACTCGATTGTCAAGTGTCAACGTTCGGGAAAGCTACTGGGAAAGTCTTTAACATCATGATGTTCACATCCAACTCGGTACAGAAGATATAGTCGGTGATGTATACATTATCAAAGAGTAATAAAGAAATTGAAAATATAAAAGAAGGGTGGGTTCTTTTTTTCTTCTCTCCTAATCAAGGAGTTAATTAAAGCTACAATTATGGAGATTGTCACGGCATAATTCACAAAGAATGATTAGAATTATTGTACATAATTTACTTGAGTTAAACTAGCTTAATCTTTGGGCATAATCTTCTTGTCCTTCCTTTGACATGAATCCAATTCTACAACATTAATTCATCTTCAATTTGAGACATTTTAGACTTTCTTGTTCCCCAAGAAAGAGAAGTAAGAGTCTTCTCCTTCATTCCTTGCACCATTTGAGGCAAGCCTGAATGCCAGTGTATCAAAGGATTTTACTTGTTTTCCAAGTGGTCAACTTCGGATTGGTTTATATTTGTTTTCAATTATCAGCACCAATGGAGTCAAGGTCGGTGGTCATCACCTTTCAATTTTTAATTTTTTTATTATTATATATATAAAACTTGATATAT